CATATGTTCAGCTTAAGAGATGCATTCTCGACATACCCTGCTGGTACAATCCTGTGATGGATCCCTATTTAGAAAGACCAAATATCAAACAGTTAAGTGTCTGATTTGTCTTGTTTGAGTCGTGTCCCTAGTAGGAGACGCAGAGAGTAATGGTTTCAGGTTGTTCGTTTTAGATTTCTGAATAGCTTTCTGGTTCGTTTTTTGGATTCTAGGATTAATAAGACCAACCTGTCATTGATACACAGTATCTGTGATGTTTGGATTCCTAGCATCCTCTGATGCATCTTGAAATTATGGGGTTTTTTTGTGGATGTAGCAGGCTGCAAAAATAGATAGAATGAGTTATGCTAATCATGGGCGTGCATATTTGGATTACGTAACAAGAGCTGCTTTCTTATGGTGAAATACATAAATGCAAATTAGTAGGCGATACTGAACTATGTAGTTTTTTTGATTTTAAGCGTGGCGTCTGACATTTAGGCAAGAGTAAGCGAGATAACTTTTTGTTGTGATTATGGCTGGAGTACTGAGACTCACCGCGCATGCAGACACAAAATCTGTTTTGTTTCGATTCTAGGATGAGTGTGCTGGACCTTAAAAAGATGGCTGATTCTGTATTCAAAAAGTCTGAAAAAAGAGAGGATGAGTTATACCGATTATGGTTGTGGATTTGGCTTCTGTAAGTAGAGCTGGTTTCCTATGGTGACAGGAGAAATGCATTTTTTTTCAGCTAATAGTGAGCTGGATATGTGTATGTGATTTCTACTGTGGCGTTTGATATCTATGCAGTGGGGAGCCATATTTCATTAGTTTTTTGGGGGGTTTCTCTAGTCTCTTGTGGTAGGAGGTATCTTGATCATACGAAGTTTTCCAGCGCATACAGATCTTTTGCTGTTATTGATTTATGCTAGTGCTATACCATGAATAGATAACTAATTGATGACTGTTCTTTTTCATGCGACACACTGGCTCAGGGTGAGGCTCGGGAAAGCACCTGGTGAGAGGGACATGAACCCCGACAGGAAAACAACGGTTGAGCTGTCTGTCCATGCTTATGCTGAAAAATGTGAAGGGCATGTCATCAATCCAACAACTGGCACGGAATTTGACTTGTTGGATGAGGCATATGAGTTCTATAACCTATATTCATGGGAAACTGGGTTTGGTATACGGCTGGCGAAGAGCAGGCTCAATGTGCAGAGAACAAGATGTATGCAAGAGATTGTGTGTGCATGCGCGATACGTCTGTGTAAAAAAAAGCA